AGAAATGGCATGCAAACTCCTTGATATTGACTGTTGGATTTTTACTTTGTTCTTCTCTATTGAGAAACAAACTTGTCAACTTGTTGCCTGGTTAGTTTAACTTTCTTATAGTTTAATAGTTGTAGAAACAGAAAAACATTTGCCAAAACAGGTAATTTTTTATTTTACTTTCATTTCTTTCCACAGTTAGAAAAGGTTATAGCGCCAAACACTCATCCAAAAATCCAGTAGGCAACTAAGGTGCGTAGATCCAAAATATACGATACTACAGAGATGAAAAAGGTCTGCACTCGTCCAGATTCAGCCAAAAAGGCTTATTACATATATTGCTCCGAGGTCACAAAAATGTGCAAAGGTGCAGGACGTTTTCAGGTATTAATGCTGCATTCATGTGCTTTCGGAATGATCGTAAATACGAGTTTCCTAATCGGAAATTAAACGTGAACGCCTCTCAAATCGTATTTACTGTGAAATTCGGAAATAATTTTGATACCAGAGTTTCCGAGTTGGGCGGGTCATAATCTTTAAATTTGGTGGCGGGGACAATCATTGCTGCTGTCAATGCTGTTCTCACAACATCCCTTTGTCTTGTCGCTAAATTAGTGTATTTATAGGCTAGAACGATCGTTCGAAGCATATTGTATGTTTTATAAGCAGTGAACGCATGTATTTGACCGAAATTCCAGAATTCTCAGCAAACTGCATGTGTAGCGCGGTGAATGTTTATGATAGTCGAGCTACATTTGATTCTTTCCGACATTAAAGCACTTGAATATGACAAGCTCGTAATCACGACTTCATAAGTGGGAAATAGGACATTTCCGATAGCACGTGAAGGCAGCATTAACCCTTTCTCAGTGCCATGTGTTACCGAGCAACAATTGCGCTATTAAAGGGGTCATATGATGCCATTTCAAATTTCCTTTCTCTTTGAAGTGCTACAAGCTGTTCGTGTATAGATTAGATCCCTAAAGTTGCAAAGACTAAAGTCTCAAACCCAAAGAGATATTCTTTATAAAAGTTAAGACTTGTCCACGCCCCCCTAAAACGCCTTGTTTAAACACACCCCCACATGTCTACGTCACGATGTGGGAAGATTTGCATAACGCCGCCCAAATGTTCACGCAAAGAAAGAAGGCGTAACTTTTATTCTCGCTGTAGTATTGTTGCCGCCGCCATGTTGTGAAGGCGCTGTGTGTTTCGTTGTGAAAGCGAAACTACTTTGTTTGGCCTTCCAAAAGAGGACGATATCTGCTTCGTCATGCCTGGAGCTGATCCGTGCTGGTTGCTGAGGAAATACATCAACTTCGTGCTGTGGATCGCCGGATCGGCTTTCACCGTGGACGAAGCGGAGTCCAGCCCGGGGTCGTCACGTGTGGTTGCCGCGGGCCCACCGGACGCTCCTTCGTCGAATTCACCAGCCACGCGCGTCGTTCTCAAGCCCGCCGTGTGTGACGCTATGTGTTTCGTTTTGAAAGGGAAAGTACTTTGTTTGGCCTTCCAAAAGAGGACACAACTAGAAATCAGTGGTTAAGTTGTATTTACAACACTGTTCCGGAACAGTTCAACCCAAATATTCAGATGTGTGCAGCACATTTTATGGAGAACTGTTTCCTGAACCTGCAGAGTAACCTACAATGCGTCTGTGCACAAAGGCTGTTTCTATAAAGTGGGGCAGTTCCAACTTTGCAAGGACAGTCTGGGGCTTCTGACTCACAGCCTGTGAGTACGTTTTTCATATTTAAATAATTTGTCACTGACGATTCAAACGCGAGTTTTGAGCAGTGTAGAGTAGCGCTTGTTGTTTGTCATTTCTCCGATCACAAATGCAGACATGGTTTTAGGTTTATGTGGCGCGATGCAACGCAACGCGTAAAAAGAAAACCGCACAAACACAATGCATTACACCAAATACACAACATAATGTTCTTTTTAGCAATGTC